AAAAAATAAAGGAATTAAGTTTTTTATCCGACATCGATCTTTTGACGTCGTCCCTTATTGTAACTCGTAGATATATTGGAGAAGCTATATGATGAGAAAATGTCAGTTCTAATTATTGTTTTCTTTCTGTGATAAAAGAAACAGTTGATTATTTGTATATGAATACTTGAAAGTCATTTTAACTACTGTGACACTGTTAGATAGTGCAATAACATGTGTTACTATGATTGTGATACATAAATCATTTTCTGTGTCAATTTTTGACCAGAATGTTTCCTAAATTTGTACTTTTTTGCTAATGTGAATAAAATGATACTGATCAGGTTGTAAGTTTTGACACCTGGCACAATAACACAAATTGATAATTACAGATTGTTGTGACGTCATAGCTTTACATTTTGATACTATTGGCAAGTGAATTCATTTCAACAAAAGCCCCCAATTTGACCTAAATTTGTTTAATTCTGATGGTGGGGGTTTATATCAACATAATGGATCCTCATAGCATCATATTGATTTCAGAAATTGGTCTTAATGTGTGATAATGTGTGTGGTGAAGCCATAGATGGTGCTGTGCGGGATTCATTATTTAAGGTAGAACCCTATTCATACCCAGGATTTATTTTTTTACAATAAATTGTACCCCTGGGCGATCTAAGGATATTGACTTTAAAAAGTTGGGGTCACCATCATTTTCAATAGTAGCTGGAAAGTATCCATTTTATCATACCACTTTTATGATATGTTCAAATGACAGGAATATGCCATTTCTCAAATTGCAGGCTGAAAAATCCAATTTTTCATTATTTTCTGTGTAATTGTTCAAAAAATGGGGACGTTTGAAAAATATTAAGACAAGTGTCTCAAAATTTCTTGCAGCAACACATGAAAGAATGCTATTTCATGGTTCCATGGAACAAAAGCTCCATGATGAACCAATGAACATTGTCATTTGATTAATGACCAACTTTCTCAAACATGTGTACATGTATCCTTCTACTTTAAATAAAGCAAGGATTTGCGCAATAATTGCCAAGACATAGTAAGCAAACATCCTATTCTTATTATCTCGCAATGGATTGTTTGGAGTCCTTTATTTTATATTTCTTCAAAATGTCAAAAGTTGAGTATACGTGTAGTGGTGCGCTTGAGAAAAAATCAAACATTATGTTAGCATGTGCATGAATTTTCATAAAGTTTTGAAAGGTTTGTGTCTGAGATGAAAAAGGTACAATTGATTTTGTTGCCAACAAGTTTTTAAAGGATTTGTTTCATTTAAAGTTGATTCAACAGCTATTAACAAATTTACAAGAAATTGTTGGAGAGTTGGACTTGACTACTTGTTTTGGCAGAGATATGGTTGCTGTGGAAACAAGATTTGAATTCAGGATTACATGTGGTACTTAGTACCTATGGTGGGTGTTGCACTTTAAGGAATGCCTTCTAATTGTTTACTTCTTATATTTATTTTATTCTATTTAAAAGTGTATTTACTGATTTTTTTTTACCAAATAAATCATTACACTTCAGAGTGTGTACATAACTACAGTAATTTAATCAGGTCTTATCCACCAACTTTTGCGTAGGTTGTCATCTGTTTGGAGATGTGGGTGTTAATGTGTCAATATGTGGTCTTTGTCTTTGTTGTACATGATAATCGTCTCTAAATAGATCTTTGGTATTATAATATGAAAATTACAATGCAATTCACTTGCAATGATCTGTTTTATTTTCGTATTGTCTTACCTGATGACCTGTGCTGGTATTGTAAATATGTACTCACTAACTTTGTGTTCCTAATAGCTTTAAATCTAAAATTCTCAAAAGGTGTAATTTTTGCATCTGGAACACCCCCAAAATAAACAAAGGCTGGTTGTCGCACCGATATTATCTCTGTTCACAAAAGAACATTATCTATACTATGTTGTTAATAATCACTAACTTTTTACTTCTTACTGAGAATGCCCGATGAACACGAGGTCCATCAAAAAGACTGTTACACAAACTTCAACAAGGTGTTTAAAAAATAGCCTCTAAACAAGCATTTGGTGCATAAAAGCGTCATTTTTACCAAGTGTGTAAAAGGGACAAGTCAACTAAGCTCATCTACGAAACGGAGACCAGATTGTTATCATGTCCAAAAATTATCGGAAAAATTTGTTTCTATTTTACTTGTAGTAAAAAGCAAATTACAATTATTTGTAACAAAATGATCAATAATACAACAAGTGATATATGTTACACGTATTGATATATTGAGAAGTAAAGAACATGATTATTTTGATAGCTGTTTTCCACAGAAATATTGGATCACAAAGTGTGATACATTCTTGTGAATGAAATATTGCCTCAGCTAAAACAATAGAAAACTGATATTATAGTTGATCATGTCATGAAATACACTACCATACTCGTGTCATCGTCATCACATTTTTGTTTAAATTTACTGTTGAACTCAAATTGAGACTGACTGCATTCACCCGTACGTTAAATTGGAGAGGGGGCCATAAAATCGTCTCATCTTACTCAACTTGAGACCCTGAAGGAACGAGATATTAGTTATTTTGATCATACGTACTTTATTTAGAACACACAAATTTCCCAAAGAGGAGTTAAAATGATTATATTACAGAAAAAATACGGTACAATATTATAAACTTGAAAACGAAGTGGGAACTGTCAGGTATATCTTTAAATTGAGATGTAGGTGTTTTGTTATAAATATCGTCGAAAGGGTCGTGAAATTCATAAAATTTGTTGTGCATTTTTCTAATACTGGACCATTCACTGCAAGATTATCATTGGATAGTACTGTTTTTACTAACCCATTCGACAAATTCAGTTTTTGTATTTGATTAACTGTTTTTGCTATAAAAGTATAGGGGATTTTCCCTTACTTTCAAAACTAATAACAAATTTGCCCATCTACCACACCGTATAGTGTAGTGTATATTTTCAGGAGTCGCGTTGTCGTCATTTATCATGAATTCACAATACTATCATTTTGAAATACTCGAGTATGGAATATATCCATTATATTGTGTAGTTGTGCCTGTGTGGAAAAAAAATAATAACATCACCAAGTGTCGATGAACTTTATATTTATTTATCTACTAGAAATTATATGGCCAATTTTGTTCCCTAAAATATATTGTCGGATATTTTCAAATAGGTCTCGAACGATTTCTTTCAAATTAATTTGAAGATGATATTACCGATTCAACTCATAGAAGATTCCCGTGAAGTCAAAACAGCGAGTCTTAAAAATGAAATGTACCGGTTCAAGCATAACAATCTATATATCGTATTGTAGTACTTGCAAAAATCTAATCATAAACCGCTACCACACTGGTGTCAATTTGAATTAGGTCACATGACCGCGACGTAAGCAAAGTCTAATGTTATATTGCAGTTGTGTGTATTTTAAAAAAACGTAACGATTTGAATGAGTCTTCTAGGGTGAATGTAAAAATGAAATGTACATTTTTCTCTAACTTATAATTGATTCAGTTCTTTGCAATGTATCAAAAAACAAGTTAACTTTATGGTAGACAATTGAATGTATATGGCATAAATATGTGCGCTTTGAATAGTCGTCAGATTTATCGACACGATAGGTTTTACTTGCGTAGCGATTATGAGACGTAATTATTATTAACACCAATACATTGTAATGAGACGTACCACCAGCAATTCTTTTCATCGGAGAAATCCCCACAGTCATTCCTTCCATTGCATTCATATATTTTACGGATGCAGTGTCCGTCCGCGCACATAAACTCATTTTTCAAACACGCTAAAAAAGAAATGTGTCATAATTCATTAATGATTAATTAAGTGTTTTCACTTCAGTAGAAAATCTTTTATATTATATTCCAATAATACTTCCTATAAGTAGCCATATTCTAACAGATATGCATAACAAGTTTGCGAATACTATCGTTTCCGTAAACCAGAAGCCCAAATGGCGAGAGCCACGAGCCTTGAATTTACTCCCAAATATTATTTAACTCTTATTCGTTATCGCGTCCACTGTTTCAAATACCGTAGCTACATAGGCCAGGGTAACAGTGGACGCGATCACTAAAAAAATGGAACACTGCTTGAGGGACAAAACAAGTCTTAATTGTGTTGATATCACGAAAAATCTATTCGTAGCACTGTTCATAGTACACTTTATAATCGTTATACCACAGGTACATCACAAAAACTAGTTTTGTCGACAACATTGGTTATATACAATACATCGATAAATGTTTTGGGCCATTGGTTATTTTATGAAATTTCGTAGTCTAAGAGTAAAAACGTCATGCAATAGTGTTCAATGAAATATTGAGACAACAACGTATAGAAGCGCATGCCAAAGCCATTTATATTTTCAAATATAACATTTTCCAAAACAACAATGTTTCTAATAGCGGTACCGCATTTCTCCATGAATCAAATTATAACTGTGTGAATTGTTGCCATAGAACGGGTTTACTTGTACTTACTGCAGTATAGTTCATCTGAATTATCGGTACAATCACTGACGCCATCACAGTGATGTGACAAAGGAATGCATTCCACGGAGTTGTCGCATTGAAACAGATCAGACTCCGACGAGTTGCATGCCATGTTTGCTGTAATAAGTGCGTAAGTATTATTTACGGTAATGTCATGAATTTGTTTTCGCGTATCTGTTGACCGACTTAATTAGCTGATTATTAGCGAATTGCTGTGTTATGTCTGTCATCGTGTAGGCCTATTTGAAGTTTTGGACGGAACTTGGCTCAGTGATTTGGAACTAATTACCTGATAATCGTCGCCATTCTGACATTTTATATCCATAGTTATTAATGTAGTGAACGATTAATCAAAAGATATGACGTATTCAGTACTTAGTACGATTGGCTTTATGATTGAAGGTCACGCCCTAGAGTCTTTTACTGTTTTGTAATTGGTTAGAGTTTTGAAAATGAATAAAGAGAGTTTGAGTTGGTCTTGGCGAATACTCCACGATAGACGCAGTAAGAGAGAGAGTGCAGTCCTGGGCAGTCGAGAGTCCGAGAGAGTCCAGGGGCGAGCCTTGAGGCAGTCCAGTCTTGGGCGAGTCTTGGGTCAGCCTTGGATAGTCTTGGGGACTTTTCCCCAGGGCGCTGTGTCTTATAGAGTGCTCGATTGACCGACTAAGACGAGAGCTGAAACGTATTTCGTTGTGTGTGTCTTATTTGACTGTAAAGTTAAAGTGACTTTCCCGATCCCGTACCTCAAGGGGACGAGATAGAGAGACGAGACGAGTTTCCCCCCTGACAAGTGTGGAGAACCCGAGAGTACAGAAATTTCCCCCTGATACCTCCATACGTTGCAGGTCACTGGGGATTCATATCACATCGACGTACAACGTCTGAGACTTATTCCCATATCCACCTTCTATACAGTCCGTCCATGTGTAGTTGCGGCTGACCTTCAGTTATATCTGCAGCTCATTAAAATTAAAAATGCAAAAACGGCGTTTTCGCGGCAATTGTCCTGCGGTTAGATGAAAATCACGAAACCGCGCATCAAACTGCCGTCAAAAGATGTTTTTTTGTTATGTTATATATATACATTGTTTGTATATATAAATATATATATATATGTACGAGCTTCGTGCAAACTTGGTGCAGCCGTACGTATTTATGTAGTTATATACTTTCGTGCTCCATATGCACATTACAATTAAGCATACAATAAGCGTACAATTACACATTTTCATTAATAGTACTGAGATGCACGCTTCGTACATTTCACTTTGTCAAACACAGTGTATGATGCAAGTAAAATGAGTGTACGCATTGTGCAGTGGCGGCGGAATCGAAAGGGGGGGGGGGGTTCTTCATTGCCAGTCGATAAGCATATGATCGACTGTACATTAAAATATAAAACTGGTGATTGGCATGTTCACCTAGAATGGAGTACCCTCTACTGAAAACTATATGTCATTGATTTGAAATACAATTATTATGGGTTCAATGCTTCCACAAAGACACGGCAGAGTAGCGCCCTCTATGGTTGTATTCAAACATTCTACAACCCCCCCCCCCACAATCGTCTCAATGTTACTCATCTCATGTATAATCATTTTTACAAGACATCCGAACGTTTTGCAAAATAAGATATAATATTACGAGATATTACGAGATATTATTATTATTTGTGCCCGAAGTAATTTGATGCATAAAGGAGTATAACGTGGAAATATTTAAATGCAATCACTGGTAGTAAGTATAATCTTCAACCACACACTCATATTTAATAACAAAAATAACTACGTCTGTTCAATATACATATATTCATAAGTCCGATATTAAACATCAGTTGCCTTTTACAATGCCAGCACAATTCTCTCATTGATGAAGTTCAAAACTATGAAGTAAGCAATTTCCTATCTCGTAAATTGTCCTTGCCAGCTTTCCACGTTAGCATTGTTTTGAAGTGCAAATTAAATGGGGTCATTATTAAGACTAAGTTATTGATAGCTAACTAAATAATATCAAACAGTCAGGTACTGTTTGTCAGTTTCAACAGTATTATCATTGTGCATTTCAGAGGAGGACTCAGATATATGGTGTTTGGTAGATACGGAGTTCGTCAAGTCAGTACAAGGATTCAGTCGCACAGGCTATGTACCGACAAACAATGAGGGATTGTCATTGTCCAGATCTGGCGTTAATGTCGGCTACGGTGTCGACATCGGCAATCTCGATGCAGAATACTTCCGGGAGTTAGATGTATCTGAAGAAACCATAACACTCTTCGAACCATACTTCGGGTTAAAGGTAAATAAAAACGAAATAGTTTATAACATAAATTGTGCTCTGAATAGATGAATCGATGAAAATTGAGTTTAAAAGTTGGTCAATATAATAATACGTAATCATTATAACACCTTCTCCTGCATGATCGACGCATCACTCAAAAGAGTATGAAGAAGAGTGTGACAATGGCAGTATTGGCCCCAGTTAGGGCGAGTACACAAGCAATGTCGGCCAGTGTTATTATGTCGAAATGCACTATAATAACGTTGGGTAAAATTTAGTATGTACAAAATAGTTCAATTCATTCAACCACATCATACACCATGTGTGTTATTTTGCCACCATCGCCAAAGTGATTGTACTACGATGTTGCAATATTTGTTTCAATATTACGTTTCCTTCTATAGTCTCTAGATTTAACAGAGAAGAATCTATGCCAGATATTATTGCATTTCGACGTAATACCTAAGGTCGTTTATCATGAATGGTACGCTGAGTGTCACTAGCCAGCTGTTTATGGATACGCCCCGTGTCAAAATAGTACTTAATTGAACCAAAACTGCAAGGGTTAGAGGTCTTCTTCAAATTCAGTCATTCATCTTTCAATCATGATGGTTCCTGTTTACAACCTAGAATCTACAGTGTTATTTATTGGTCGTCGTTTAGTGATTTTCTGGCAATTAAAATAATAATTTTTATTTTATCGCATTTGTACAATATCGCATTCAGTTTTTGAGAAGGTCAAGCGATTTTTTTGAATAATTCAATAACAAAAATACGCTAAGCATTCAAAGGAAATTTTCAAATTAATTTACTATGAGCGCAGAATCGCAGATTGAAAAATTCCGTTCAAATTACCATGTGCCAGAAAACATATCATAAATTCACCATTTTTTCACGTAGTTAATATATAATAACAAGTCTAAATGTTAAAAAATTATGTGATATTTGTATGCAATGCAAATTAATTGTTACACAAACTCAAAAGTCATCAATCAATGAGGACATCTTCCCTGTAACTCGTAATGGACTATTATATATGCAGTGAATCGATCTGATTGGTAGAAGACGCCCTCTCGTGTTAGAATCGCTAATTTCAACAAGAATCGTTTGTTATTGAAAATCAGTAAACTAACGGGTCGTTCCGACACCCGGCATTTATAATGCTTTTGAATGCATAACCCGTACTTTTATATTCTATATTACCTGTGTTAGGGAGCTGATGCTCAAAGTAAAGTGACTGAAGTTCCCTTAGAGTTAACGGAAGAGGAAGCGATGAGTATAGGTGACAAGCATATTGAACAGCAGATTACCGAATTGTCTGATGTATATGACACTGCGTTAGAATCTATCGGTAAGTATTAATCGCGTAATGTGCATCTTTTCCTTGCGTGGTGTCATTACAATATGGTGCAGAATTCGGATTAACCTGTGTCCTTATCAAAGCAATGGAACAGACGGCGTGTCAAAACGTATCACTTATTTCACTACGAATGCGTTTTCGTTAACACAGTATATTTGTGGAATCTGTAATGTTTAAGCTGTTGTATAGATCCCACATACGAGACTAACTGCCTATCACACTTTCAGAAGGCGACTTAGACGAATTCGAAGACTTAACTGTTTCTCAGCGGACCGTGATTTTCGACGTATTCTACCAGTACGGCAGCAACCCTGCACGATTTCCCACCTACTGGCGGTACGTGACAAACCAGCAGTGGGCCAACGCCCTATCGGAACTTCGGAACTTCGGAGATATATACCCAGAGCGAAGGATTAAAGAGGCCGACTTGCTAGAGTTTGATACAGGGTTGATTTCGGCATGTTCAGGTACGTGGTTTATGTACTAGTAGCGATAGCGCTCGGTTAATTATTCCCTTCGGTGAAGCATTTGCACATTTTGTACTTTTCGTTAATTTTGAGCAAACATGGTATATTTGGTGTTAAAAAGTTGAACATAGTTAGGTATGAGCATGCGCAGTTATATGCAGATCAATAACAAACGCAGTCATATTATAATAGAATACGAATTAAAGTTGTAATACGAGTATTACATATTACATATATTATTACATATTTGTATGCCCCTGTTACGTTTCTGTATTCATGATTGTTGTGTAACAGTTTAATCAATGCCTAACGTTCAATAACATTTTCAGATGCAACACCATGGGACTGTCTTATTAATAAAGATTTCATTCGGCAACAGCAAGGATTTAGTAGTACGGGGATCGTGCCAATTGATGGTGACGGAGCCCCACTCGAACAATCAGGTGTGAACGTGGGTTATGGAATTAATATTGGCGCAAAAGATGCCTCGTACTTTCAAGCGTTAGGACTTTCTGAAGATATCATAGAGCAACTAGAACCCTATTTTGGACTAACTGTAAGTTTCTTAGTACACAACCAGTATTAGATCGTTCTTTTAATAGGTAACATTTTAATATTGGTTATCACATTGTCAGAAATGAGTCGTGAATTCGAGAAGCTGCTTTGCATCATTGTCGCATACGACTTGTTTACCACCTCCGTGTGACTGAGAATGTTCTAGAACCGTACTGTGTCTGGGTGGAATTTTTAGAAGTTGGTGGAATAGGTAAAAGGACACTGTAGAAGGCAATAGAAGGTAATGGAACATTCTAGAAATTTGTAGTAAGTTCCAGACTCATTATGTATGCTGATGTAATGGTCTATTTATAGACAGTGTGGGTATATATAGGGGAGTTGTTCAGCACTGAGATCAGATCGGAGATCTCGTTGAATTGTATTGGAGTTTAAGTATCTAGTTATTGGAGTAGTGGAGTTTTACCGCGTCATTGTACTTGATGTTTGCAGAGTATAATAATACCAGTACCAGTTGAAACCTCATCTGTTGGCTCCGTGTTCGTATTTTATCATCGCCGCCAGGGAAGTCTTTTTGTTACTGTTGCCATTTTGGTATTTAAACCATCACACCTGTACTATACCAATTACGGTAATATTACGTTGCGTGTGACAATCATAAATCAAACTATACAATCTTACAACGCGAGACACTTAAGTGTTCATATTGTTGTTGCGCAGTGAGTAGAGGTGTCCACGAGCAGGACCGCACAACGTGTCTAATCCTAACGCATGCTGCCACTGCTATCACGGGGTAAACTCGTCTCGTCTCTCTATCTCGTCCCCTTGAGGTACGGGATCGGGAAAGTCACTTTAACTTTACAGTCAAATAAGGCACACACAACGAAATACGTTTCAACTCTCGTCTTAGTCGATCTTTTGTAGCACTCTATAAGACACAGCGCCCTGGGGAAAAAAAATCCCCAAAACTCTCACAAGGCTGAACCAAGACTCACCCAAGACTGGACTGCGTCAAGGCTCGCCCCAAGACTGGACTCTCGACTGCCCATGACTGCACTCTCTCTCTACTGCGTCTATCGTGGAGTACTCTTCAAGACCAACTCAAACTCTCTTTATTCATTTTCAAAACTCTAACCAATTACAAAGCAGTAAAAAGACTCTAGGGCCTAACCTTCAATCATAAAGCCAATCACACTAAGTACTGAATACGTCATATCTTTTGATTAATCGTTCACTACATTAATAACTATGAATATAAACTGTCAGAATCGCGACGGTTATCTGGTAATTAGTTCCAAATCACTGAGCCAAGTTCCGTCCAAAACTTCAATTAGGCCTAAACGATGACAGACATAACACAGCAATTCAGCTAATAATCAGTTAATTAAGTCGGTTAACAGATACGCGAAAACAAATTCATGACACATCCCTTCACCCAAACTGAGATATGCCTCTCGGCATTGCACGTTCATAAATCAAAGATACCGTCAGCCACTCATCGTCATACGGGTTAAATACAATACTAATAATAAAAGGTATAAATCAAAAAGAGTAAAACACACTAATTAAGTACATGTACAATGATTATAAAGTCTAAATACAATGGTTATAAAGTTTCAAATATCAACGGTTATAAAGCAAAAACAAGGGAAAGGCTACCAAACGACTCATTTTTCTCAAAACGGTTCGCTGAGGTAACCCGTCGCTTCACTTTCTCCGTTACTAAGGTTACAAACTCTATATCAAAAGGTCAAAAAACTAAGGCGTGGCGGTGTAACCAAGCGATCAGCCAATCGCTGCAGTCGACAGCATGATCACGTGATTACCAGGGATGCGTCTCTCGGTTAAAGCATTGCAAAGCGGTAACTAATAAACAATGAATAAACAAGCTATTAATCAAACTCCTGTCATATACGCTTATAAACTTCAACTGAACTCAAAAGTCGTTAATCTAAACACAAGTCATACGGCGTGGTAACGGAATGCAAAGATAAAGCTATCATAACACATTACTCCTCTGGCAAAAAAGACGGGAAAGTAAAACGATAGAAACTACTGAATTACATATAATCCTGTCAATCATGAACAAAAGCTTGCGTTATCAAACAATACGTATATAGGCGCACCAAACTTTCATCCCAAAAAGACATTAAAAACGTTACAAAGGTGCTATCAACTCAAAAAGCGT